AAAGTAACTGACTACACTGAAGGAAAGTAACTGACTACACTGCAGGAAAGTAACTGACTACACTGAAGGAAAGTAACTAACCACACTGTAGGAAAGTAACTGACTACACTGTAGGAAAGTAACTAACTACACTGCAGGAAAGTAACTGACTACACTGAAGGAAAGTAACTAACCACACTGTAGGAAAGTAACTGACCACATTGTAGGAAAGTAACTAACTACACTGCAGGAAAGTAACTGACTACACTGTAGGAAAGTAACTGACCACACTGTAGGAAAGTAACTGACTACACTGTAGGAAAGTAACTGACTACACTGTAGGAAAGTAACTGACTACACTGAAGGAAAGTAACTGACTACACTGAAGGAAAGTAACTGACCACACTGCAGGAAAGAAACTGACTTTCACAGTTTTGTTTTTTAACAGAAATATTCAATACTATTTTATTTATTTTTATTTTGATATTACAAATACATTACACATTTACAAAACAAAACACTTCAACATAATTACAAGAATAATTCCAACCCCTATTAACTCATGTCTCAAGACACACACTGGTTCCTGATAAATATTTTTAATTATCTTCATCTCGTTCTTGTGAGGCCCAATTAAGGGTTGTTTGATTAAAACAGCAGAAATTAAGTAATAATATACTGTAAATTATGTTAGAGTTATTTAGTTTAGTTCATTTATTATGTACCCATACCCATCCTGTGGGTGGTAGTGGACCCCATTCCCATCCTGTGGGTGGTAATGGACCCCATACCTATCCTGTGGGTGGTAGTGGACTCCATACCCATCCTGTGGGTGGTAGTGGACCCCATACCCATCCTGTGGGTGGTAGTGGACCCCATACCCATCCTGTGGGTGGTAGTGGACCCCATACCCATCCTGTGGGTGGTAGTGGACCCCATACCCATCCTGTGGGTGGTAGTGGACCCCATACCCATCCTGTGGGTGGTAGTGGACCCCATACCCATCCTGTGGGGGGTGGTGGACCCCATACCCATCCTGTGGGTGGTAGTGGACCCCATACCCATCCTGTGGGTGGTAGTGGACCCCATACCCATCCTGTGGGTGGTGGTGGACCCCATACCCATCCTGTGGGTGGTAGTGGACCCCATACCCATCCTGTGGGTGGTAGTGGACCCCATACCCATCCTGTGGGTGGTGGTGGACCCCATACCCATCCTGTGGGTGGTAGTGGACCCCATACCCATCCTGTGGGTGGTGGTGGACCCCATACCCATCCTGTGGGTGGTAGTGGACCCCATACCCATCCTGTGGGTGGTAGTGGACTCCATACCCATCCTGTGGGTGGTAGTGGACCCCATACCCATCCTGTGGGTGGTAGTGGACCCCATACCCATCCTGTGGGTGGTAGTGGACCCCATACCCATCCTGTGGGTGGTAGTAGACTCCATACCCATCCTGTGGGTGGTAGTGGACCCCATACCCATCCTGTGGGTGGTAGTGGACCCCATACCCATCCTGTGGGTGGTAGTGGACCCCATACCCATCCTGTGGGTGGTAGTGGACCCCATACCCATCCTGTGGGTGGTAGTGGACCCCATACCCATCCTGTGGGTGGTAGTGGACCCCATACCCATCCTGTGGGTGGTAGTGGACCCCATACCCATCCTGTGGGTGGTAGTGGACCCCATACCCATCCTGTGGGTGGTAGTGGACCCCATACCCATCCTGTGGGTGGTAGTGGACCCCATACCCATCCTGTGGGTGGTAGTGGACCCCATACCCATCCTGTGGGTGGTAGTGGACCCCATACCCATCCTGTGGGTGGTAGTGGACCCCATACCCATCCTGTGGGTGGTAGTAGACTCCATACCCATCCTGTGGGTGGTAGTGGACCCCATACCCATCCTGTGGGTGGTAGTGGACCCCATACCCATCCTGTGGGTGGTAGTGGACCCCATACCCATCCTGTGGGTGGTAGTGGACCCCATACCCATCCTGTGGGTGGTAGTGGACCCCATACCCATCCTGTGGGTGGTAGTGGACCCCATACCCATCCTGTGGGTGGTAGTGGACCCCATACCCATCCTGTGGGTGGTAGTGGACCCCATACCCATCCTGTGGGTGGTAGTGGACCCCATACCCATCCTGTGGGTGGTAGTGGACCCCATACCCATCCTGTGGGTGGTAGTGGACCCCATACCCATCCTGTGGGTGGTAGTGGACCCCATACCCATCCTGTGGGTGGTAGTGGACCCCATACCCATCCTGTGGGTGGTAGTGGACCCCATACCCATCCTGTGGGTGGTAGTGGACCCCATACCCATCCTGTGGGTGGTAGTGGTAGTGGACCCCATACCCATCCTGTGGGTGGTAGTGGACTCCATACCCATCCTGTGGGTGGTAGTGGACCCCATACCCATCCTGTGGGTGGTAGTGGACCCCATACCCATCCTGTGGGTGGTAGTGGACCCCATACCCATCCTGTGGGTGGTAGTGGACCCCATACCCATCCTGTGGGTGGTAGTGGACCCCATACCCATCCTGTGGGTGGTAGTGGACCCCATTCCCATCCTGTGGGTGGTAGTGGACCCCATACCCATCCTGTGGGTGGTAGTGGACCCCATACCCATCCTGTGGGTGGTAGTGGACCCCATACCCATCCTGTGGGTGGTAGTGGACTCCATACCCTCCCTATAGGTAGTAGTAGAACATTTAGAACAAGAAATAAAACAGTCAAATTAAAATATTTACGCTGAAGGATTTGAGTGAAGGAACTGTTCTGGAATTAGAGACCTCAGGGGACCTGACCATTGGCCAGGACCCTGATCACATAGGACCTGATTGGCCAAGATCTTGACAAAGTCAGCAGGAGGGAGAGGACACGAGGGGAAGACACGGCTGCACTGGTCCTGGTTCGTGGTCAACGCCGCCCATTGTCCGACCAAAGAAGCGTATTGGTACTTGGCGGCGGGTGTGTGTAAGTCCTCCCAGGGGACAGGCAGGCCCGGCTCAGGACTGAGTGAACAAAAGAAAACGGGATATATCAATATATCGTATCACCTTATTGGCCTAAATAATATTTGCGATTACCTATATCTGTTAAACGTTGACATTTTTTTAATAGAATTGAGATTTCGTACCCCATTACCTGCGGTATGCTTTTCAGGTATACTCATCAATATCCCTATTGAATTGAAAAGCTGTCCAACTTTTGCATCATTCAAAAACAATAATAAAAAGTACCTAATTTCATCTTCATAGTTTTTTACCTTTTGCTTTAAAACTGCACTGTATCTATTGCTACCCAATCTCCCAATCATTATGTACCCAATCTGAACATCTTTATCATTGCGATCATTGCTGTCTTCTTATATGTACTGTCAATCTGCTGTATGGTGTCTATTAATCTTGTTTAAATTACCAATCAAGCTGTCAATGTAATCAATCAGAGCTTTAATCTACCAATGTGCTTTAATATACTTACTAATCTCTCTCATCTCATTTTTTTTCTTGCAATGTTTTTGTTATCATTTTATTAATTCTGATAGAATTTACCTACTTAAAATTATCTGCTAGATTAAGGACCTGCCCGAAACGCAGCGCGTACTAGTGGCTTTACAAGAGTGCAATTACTGTACTATGCTATGTATTCTCACAAACCCAATGTACCTTCTTGTATATAAATAAATAAATAAATAAATAAATAAATAAATAAATAAATAAATATGAGCAAATCTACTGTATATTTTAGGCATGAGACCAGCGAGCTATGGGAGATCATTACACCAAAGGCATATTTATACATATTGGTCTGTTGGAAACGTCTCCAACCTTTTATGTCTCTCCGGGAATTCGAACCAGAGATCCCCGATTGATGGTCGAGAATAGAGCCAACTGTACTAAAGATTCAGGATGGCCATTAACACAATTTACTGACCAAAGAGTATACTTATGTCCGGTACATAGTGTGGGACTTAATCAACTTAAATATTAGATAAAAATGCGAGTTTCTTCTTTGCAAATGAGTTGAAAAAATTTATTTAGAAAAATTTCAATATATTACATAATATTCAAATTTTTATAAGTATTAACAAAAATGTAATATTTGTGTGTGTTGCTAATTTTTGTATAAATGGCTATTCACTAAGTTATGCTTCTTTCCTCGTGAATACAAAAGACAATGGACTCTCAAAATATCTCTATTTTCTATCTAAAAATATCTAAATTTCTAAACAATATTTTCTGGCGTAATGATGCAATTATCTCCAAATTTCTTCTAATTAAATAACTTTTTATGTATAAAATTTATATTCAATAATAGCTTGGTTTCTTTAGTAATAAACGCCATTTGACTAAAGTTGCAGTACTATGTCAATTGATATACATCGCCGTCTAAGGGCTAAGAGAGCCTTGAACGATTGAAAAATTACTGCCTCTAATCTGTATATGGCGGCCTCTCCACGTGTAGGTGGGAGAAATATTTTAGTCATATTACCCATCTATGAATCTCTACATGGTCGTCTCATCCCCAGTGAATAGCATCTTCAGCATCTGTATCATGTATACATTGCTCACTCACAATGTATCCATGGACTCGCCATTTTTACATGGCTGACCCAACATGTATACATGGTATTCATACATTCGATTCACTGTAGGCTCACTGTTTGGTCACGGGAGAATTTACTATTAATCCGTCATTAATCCGTAGGCTTCCTGTCCTCGTCGAGGCCACTAGTGTTAAGGGCCCACAGGTAAATTCGGGTAAATTAATAATTGCGAATTCAACAGCTGTAACTTGGAGGGCACGTCACCTAGTTATGATGCCAGATAATATTTTGACCAAAAGATTTGTACACCAAGAGGCGTGTCCATATTCTCAGAGTATAGAGACATTTGTCCTGGACATAATTCAAGACTAAAGTCTTAGACATAATTCAAGACTAAAGTCTTACTTGCTCTTTGAGGCTAGCATCAAAACATTCTGGTCGATCAATATGCAATTCGGGATCTAAATTGTCTAAAGCACAAGTAGTTTGACAAGGTACCTGAGGGCGGCGATGACAGTGTTGTGGTCGGTGGTCCTGGCCTCTGGCGGGAGGCTGGTGGCGTGGCAGAGGGCGAGGGCCGCGCACCCAGAGTCGTCCAGGTTAGTTACCACCTGCGGGATAGGAAAGGTGGTCGTATTATATAGTAAATTACCTATAAAGCTGAAGAGCAATCAGTGTGTTAACCTATTCGTGTTTGCTTGGGGACAGGTTCCGACTGGAGATTATAATACCCGTTGATGGGGACATGAAGCCTGTACTTAGCGTTATCTAAGTCACCCCTTGACCGACTGCAGTCTCAGCAATTGAAGGAGTTCATTAGTTGTAAACATGATCGCTTTCTGCTAGCTCCAAGGTTTACAATAATATATAAGCTTTTAACTGTTTCCAAAAATTCGTTTTAGTGCTTTACCTTATAGAGTGCCTGGCGAAGGAAGCCGATATCCCCGTCGTTGAGGTCGTTGGTGTCCCTCCTCCTCCTGCCGATGGTGTCAGAGACGATGAGGACAAATGATGTTAAAAGTATTCCTGTGGCCACTTCTGCGGCTATCACGTACCGTGGGTCGTTGAATATCGAGCTGGGGGCCCTAGTGGTGGTGTTGCTGACCATAGGGGCTCTAGTGGTGGTGTTGCTGACCACAGGGGCCCTAGTGGTGGTGTTGCTGACCATAGGGGCCCTAGTGGTGATGGTGTTGAGCATAGGGGCCCTAGTAGTGATGGTGTTGACTAGAGGAGCCATAAAGCTGTTGATGCCTAAAGATGTCATTGTGGTGCTGCTGTTGGTACAACTACTTTACAGCTGGATTGATTCTTTTGCTGATACTGCTTCTGCCTCTGTTATTAATGTCTATAGTGCTGAGAGCGATGATTCTGATAATCCCACAGGCAGCGGCATCGACAAACTGAAAATAAACTCGAACGAATTACTTTGAGGAAGGGCTGAGGTGACGGAGGAAATAACATAAACACTGGCTAAGAACTGATGACGAGAGTTAATAACAGCTTCAGCACTTTAGGGAGTGCTGAAGCTGCTCTTGGGAGTGACGTGAGATCCTGGGGATTATACCAACAGGAAGAATAAACGTTGGGCAATAAGTGAAAGGGGAGAGAGAGTGTGAGAGAGAGTGTGTGAGAGAGCGTGTGAGAGAGCGCGAGAGAGAGAGAGAGAGAGAGAGAGAGAGAGAGAGAGAGAGAGAGAGAGAGAGAGAGAGAGAGAGAGAGAGAGAGAGAGAGAGAGAGAGAGAGAGAGCGAGAGAGAGTGTGAGAGAGAGTGTGTGAGAGAGCGAGAGAGAGAGAGAGAGAGAGAGAGAGAGAGCGCGAGAGAGAGTGTGAGAGAGAGTGTGTGAGAGAGAGCGCGAGAGAGAGAGAGAGAGAGAGAGAGAGAGAGAGAGAGAGAGAGAGAGAGAGAGAGAGAGAGAGAGAGAGAGAGAGAGAGAGTGAGAGAGAGAGAGAGAGAGAGAGAGAGAGAGAGAGAGAGAGAGAGAGAGAGAGAGAGAGAGAGAGAGAGAGAGAGAGAGAGAGAGAGAGAGAGAGAGAGAGAGAGAGAGAGAGAGAGAGAGAGAGAGAGAGAGAGAGAGAGAGAGAGAGAGAGAGAGAGAGAGAGAGAGAGAGAGAGAGAGAGAGAGAGAGAGAGAGAGAGAGAGAGAGAGAGAGAGAGAGAGAGAGAGAGAGAGAGAGAGAGAGAGAGAGAGAGAGAGAGAGAGAGAGAGAGAGAGAGAGAGAGAGAGAGAGAGAGAGAGAGAGAGAGAGAGAGAGAGAGAGAGAGAGAGAGAGAGAGAGAGAGAGAGAGAGAGAGAGAGAGAGAGAGAGAGAGAGAGAGAGAGAGAGAGAGAGAGAGAGAGAGAGAGAGAGAGAGAGAGAGAGAGAGAGAGAGAGAGAGAGAGAGAGAGAGAGAGAGAGAGAGAGAGAGAGAGAGAGAGAGAGAGAGAGAGAGAGAGAGAGAGAGAGAGAGAGAGAGAGAGAGAGAGAGAGAGAGAGAGAGAGAGAGAGAGAGAGAGAGAGAGAGAGAGAGAGAGAGAGAGAGAGAGAGAGAGAGAGAGAGAGAGAGAGAGAGAGAGAGAGAGAGAGAGAGAGAGAGAGAGAAAACATCCTAGGAAGCATCGAAATACTTTTGGGTGACAGATTTTTTGTCATTGCGTTTTCCTACCTTGGAAAGTCATCACTCTTGTGTATATGAGGACGAGAATAACAATATCTTTATTGATACAATCAGTAAGAGCCACGAGGAGGACTCGAACCCATACTCTAGGTACTCTGGAGCACACGTTCTAGACCACTATCTTCTTTAATGTCACCAGATTTGTATTTAATGTTGAAAGAGAATACTTTACGTTTGTTCCAGAAATATCGAGCAAATCAAGAGCGGCAGCTCTTGATGTGAGGCTCACAGGCTTGATTTGATTCGAGAGCTGACGGAAGCGTCACAGATGAAAGTGTTGCTCACAGGACTCTCTGCCCCGTCCTTCCCGGCTGGACACACGAGAACTCGTGTGTCTGAATCAAGACCTAGTGCCTAAAATGACACTGTTGCTTTCTGTGAAACTGAATTTTTAGTTTCACATTTCTCATGAGTACTTACTGAGGGAGAGATGGGCGGGAGTATCCCGGAGAGGAGCTGAGAACTGACTTATACAGAGTGAGTCTGTGTTGTTATATACACCTTCACTCTCCCGGGCCGTGACGTCATGTTGTTGTGAAGGCTGCGTGACGGTGGTCACAACCATTATTAACTCATTATACTGTTGGCTGGTCCTCGATCTCCCTCCCTGCCCTCACTGCCCTTGAACTCTGTACTCTGCACCTGTGCTTTCAAATGTGCAGATAAATGCTGAGACTTGTAGAAACCTGTGGTTTCTAGTAACTTATGCTTTGTATAGACAGTTACGTCTCGGCGACGTCAAGCGCCAGTAATATGATCTTCGTAGGAATCTAGATTCATGACGTTTATTTGGCCATATATATGATGTCTGTCCATACAAGGTTGGAGACCAGAAACATGGAAGTAGCCTCATGGAACTATGCAGGGTGACTGGTGGTGGTTGGATGGTTATGTAGGGTTGGTGTCAGCCAACATACCATCCCCTTGATATCAGGTTCCAACCTCGCTAAATACCAGACACCATCCTCACTAAGATTCATCCAGCACACAAGCAAAGTGTTGTCAACGCCTGTCAACCGACTTCTCATACACAGCTCCAGTTGTAAACAGATTGACAAGGAACGTTTGAATAGTCCCCAAGTTACATCTGCGCACAGAACACGCATTGACCCCTGAAGGGCTCGAACCTAGGCTGCCAGGGTGGAAGCCGGGTACTATACGTGGATTTCTGAACAAGGACATAAAGAATAATTCAGTCTTAAGTTTTAAAGTCACGTATTAAGGACAAAATAGAGGGTCGATAGGTATTGAATTAGATGACACACCTCTGAAAAGAGGTTGTCTTAATGGTTATCTAAATGTCTAATTGGCTGTTTAACAGGTTAAGGATTTACGATTTTTAAGGTTTTCTAAGACGATATCTATCGACCCTGCAAATATACACCCTTTCAAACATAGTCACACACACACACACACACACACACACACACACACACACACACACACACACACACACACACACACACACACACACACACACACACACACACACACACACACACACACACACACACACACACACACACACACACACACACACACACACACACGCACACACACACACACACACACATTACCTACACGCGATCCCATACTTTCTCTCTGGTTCTCATCACTCATCTGTACATTGAAAACAGAAAATGGGAGGAGCGTTGAATTAGGACTATGGCAAAATCAGCTAATACCGCTTTCTAACCGCTGCTACGGTGCCCTCACAATAACTTGACGTCAGGGGCCGGGCGAGTGAAGGTGTATATAATACACACACTCATTCTGCACGACACACAGTTACAGCCCCGCTCCTGTGCCAGGTAAGTCCACTACGGGCTCACCATACCTTGAGGTTACCTTGAGATGCTTTCGGGGCTTTGCGTCCCCGCGGCCCGGTCTTCGACCAGGCCTCCTCGTTGATATAGCTCGAGCTACTTGTAATTTTGAGTAGCTGAATCTAAAACAACAACATTCTACACGACAGTCAGTCTCCAGCTGCTCTCCAGGATACACTCACCCAACATACCAGTACCATTAAAAACGAGAACTCTTTCAATACTTAAGTACCAGTCAAAAAACAGCCATTATAGGCAGTGTGTGTGTCCAAGATTCAAGAAATCGTAGCTCTTTTCTTGATAATATAAGTTTCCTCAACGCATCTCAATGGTCCTGAGAATTATTGCATCAAGCAACTTCTTTTTCCAACCCTCCCAACCTCTTTTTCCTTCATTCCACATTCGCGGTGTCACCGCGGTTCTTACACCCGTGTTCCCGCCATTTCTCCCTCAGCACTATCTTCTAATTTTGTATTTCTTCTATTTTTTGGTTAATTTCTTCTTAATTGGTTAATTTCTTCTTCTTTGGTTAATTTTCTTAATCTTCTATTTAGAAGAAGGTATTTCTTCTAATTTTGGTTATCATCCATTCTTGCTTGGTAGTCATCCATTCTCTCCCTTGCGGTAATTATCTTTCCTCTCTACCATCAGGGCAGCGAGGTACACATAGAAGTGTACCTCGCTACTCGGTGTCAAGTCCCATGTCCGAAGGGGTTGGAAAAGTCGGGGGTTAGGAAGAAGGCTGAGGAGTAGAAATTGTGGAAGAGGATGTGGATGGTGGATGAAGAGGCTAAAAAAAATCGGTGGTCTATCCACCGCGGGTTGGCGTCCGTCGTGTATTTTTTCACGGTTATTGATCTTGGCTTTGTTTGTGCGGCGTGGTAGCTGGGAGGGGTTGGGAGGTCTGCGTCAGGGCTTGAGGTGAAGTGGAGAGTGGCGTTGGGTGGAGACGCCTCAGTCTTGGTTCTTCATCTGACGTCTTCCGTCTTCAGACTTGGTTCTTATATACATTGGGAATGTGTTTATTGAACTGTTGTTGTTGTTATAGATTCAGCTACTCGGAACAAGTTCCAAGCAGCACGGGCTATGGTGAGCCTGTAGCTTACCTGGCACAGGAGCGGGGCAAGTAGCACGGGCTATGGTGAGCCCGTAGTGGACTTACCTGGCATAGGAGCTGTGCTGTCAATGTTACTAAACATAGTTCAGAAGTAAAATAGTCTTGCTGGTCTGTCATCAGAATATTCGTCCCTCCAGTATTGATCCTGGCCATTCATTTGCAGCTTGTCGCTGATACTTTCTACAATATTGTTAAAAGCAGCAACAGCAGAAGTAGTAAGAGATTATATAAGCCGTGCAGAAATAAGAGAAGCCTCAGTAAACAAAGACAATTGCATAGACAACAGACAATAATTATCAAGAGAAAGTTGAAAATATAGCAGGAGCAGTATTAAAAGAGAAGTGGCAGTAGCAACAGATGCAGTAACAGTCTCAACAGTAAAAACGATAAAGAGCATAGTACCACAGAAGCATTATGTTACTAAATGCCAACTCCACCTTAGTCGACAAGAACAGGTTGGCAGCCGTAGGAGTCGTCGCGTCGATCTACATCTCCGAACTTTTCTTTCTCTTCTCTTACGCCGTCGGCAGGAGGAGGAGGGACGCCCACTCCACCAACCTCAGCCCCAGTGAGGAGAATTTATTCAGACAATCGCTCTTTAAGGTAAAAAGAAAACTCAAACGATTTAAAAGAATGGATATCATTGCTAAGTTTTAAGATTAGCTGCGAATTTTATAGTAAATGCTCAGAGAACCTGAGATACTTTAATTATGATATTCATGTATCTCTTATTCCTTAAGCTGCCGAGACGAGTAGGCTCCATTGTGATCTCCGAAGCACTCAATTTCCAAATT